ACAGTTGGTAAAAGCTTATGGCAAGAGGAGGGAAATTGGGACGCTACATCTGGTAGATGGGACACAATGTGGGCTGTTTCTCAGTCCTTCAAAACTGACTCCACTCAGAAGGAAGGTGTCGAGAACAGGGAGAGATGGGAAACAAAAACAAAATCTAACTCCAGAATCAACACTGCCATATGTCCCCCAACCTGGAATAAGAGCAGGGGAAATTTAGCTTAAAATACATTCATTCTACAAAAACTCTATGAATTCTCTGAAGGCAGGCATAACATCCAGACAGTCTCTACAGAACGCAGAACTGTAGGAAACACAGCACAGAAAAAGATGGCACTCTCTGTCATATTTGAATGTTAACTGTTTTGAGGGTATCATCCTCATTATGACACAGATATATATATTAAGAACAAGTACAGAACAACTCCAGTTCACTGAAGTTAGCTCTCAAGGCCCACACAGCCTCTGAGCAGTTTTCAAAATGAAAACAGTAGGAGGCAAATAAACTGAGAAAATACAGAGACAGAGATGAACTCATCAAGACTGTTTTATGCAAAATATGATCAATAAGGACTTGGTGTGGGATGACTACAGAGTGAGAGACACACACTTTGTTTCCATTTGGCTTATATAGTTCTCAGGTTGCATACATTTTAAAAGGCAACTGCTAAAAAAGGGAAAACACCAGAGATCACATGCTGTCTTCATAGCTCTGTATTTTCTAAGTTTTATTCCCCCACCTCACTGAGAAATGTGGAATTTTTTTTAATGGGACTCATTAAGCACCTAATATAAAAGCCGGAGAGATGGTTTAGCAGGTGAAAGCACTTGCCACTTGTGCAAGGACCTGGGTTCATATTCCCAAAGCCCACAAAAGCTGGAGGGGGCGCTACACATCTGTAAGCCCAGAGCTCCTCTGAGGAGATGGGGAGGGGGATGGGAAAGGAAAATTCTAGAAAGTTCATGGGCCAGTCAGTCTTAATCTCACACATGCCATGGAAAGACAACAAAGTGATTCTGTCTCAAATAAGGTGGAAGGCAAGGACTGGCACTTGAGATTGCTCTCTGACCTCTACACCCATGTTGGCATACCCGGGTTGCATTTGCACACATGTATGTGCACTATATAGACCTCCACACACTTACACAGACACAGGCATACAAAGAAAACATGGCCTTTGTTCACAGAACAAAGCAGTGTGTAGACATGTGGAGATGATCTACTCAAGAAAGCAATTTGTCGTCCAGTCCTACTGTCACCTGTGACAGTCCCACCAGAGACCTAATCAGCACTTTATTGAGCTCATTGGGTGATTTTAGTTACATTCTCAGTGCAGCCCTGGTGTCAGGAGTCTGTGCAATGGCCATTCTAATGTGCAGTGGTGTCAAGAACTGCAAACCTCGCCCAGCTTCATTTCCCAAATGAGAACATAGTGGCCCATAAACGTTTGTGAACTTACCTAAGGCTACCCAACTATTTAATACCAGACTCCTAATAATGGTGCTTCTTTCTTTATTACAAACTTTTTTTCATGTCTGATTTTTTTATTTTATGTGTATGGCTGTTTCACCTGCAAGTATGTCTGTGTGTTGCTTGTGCATTGTGCTTGCGGAGGCACCAGATCACACATATGTTGTCACCATTTGGGTGCTGAAGACCAAACCCCCATCATCTGGAAGAACGCCAGTGCTCATAACCTCTGAGCTCTCTCTCTAGCCCACCCCCTTTATTAAAACACTTAAAAAGCAGGCATCATACTTTGGGTAACTGCCCCCCATGGTGCCAATGCTTGTTGCCAGCCTGTGGTGCTACTAGGAGATACTGCAGCCTTTGCTGGGCAGTTATGTGGGATACACTTCGGTGATGGAGACAGGGGCATGCCCTTGAAGCAGACACTGGTTTCTGTCTTAGCTTCTCGGCTGTTAGCAGCAGGAGAGCTGGCCAATCCTCCCAATGCTTCCATTGCTACATAGTGTGCTGTCAAAGCCCAAAGCAACAGGGCCAAGTGACCACGGACTGAAAACGGCAAAACCATGATCCCAAATAAACCTTTCATCTTTATAAGTTCATTTGAGGTGTGGTAATAGATGATTATTTATGTCTTCTCAGGAAGCAAGCCACACAGACAGTTGGGAAGCTGTATTCCAGGTAGAGAAGCTAGGGTGTGTGTGCGTGTGTGTGTACATGTGTGCTGGACAGACAAATTGTGTTTCTAAGCCCCTGACAAATACTGATCTTTCACATGTAGACAGGAAGTCTGAACTGCACTTTTCTCCTGGTGCTGGTATCTAACCCAAGACTTCGTGCAGGCTAAACACACATTCTGTAATTATACCTCCAGGCTCTTAAATCATTCTTAAAATACTTCCAACTTTCATATTCATACTATTATGATTCCCCGGAGCATGTGTTTAAATAATAACAATTATTAGGACTGGAATACTCCCTGGAGGTTGCCTCCTCATATGTGTAAAGCCTAGATTTCCATCTCTGGTACCCACCCGCAGGACAAAGAAAGAAAGAAAGCCTCTAAATTCAAATGATTAAATTTAGATGATTTGGAAAATTATAAATTATATTCAAATTCTGGAAAACACAGAGAGCATTACTGGGTAGTATTTGATTAATAAAGTATTAACCAAGATACCAAGGTCAAAGGAAGTAGTAGTTTTTAGGGGAACAGAATGCAGAATGCACTGAACCAGGTTGTCCCTCAACAGTAGCCATTAAGGCAAGGACAGATGAGGATTTTTATGGGTGACTTCCACAAACAGTAGTTAATTGGCTAGGCATGAATCTTTGACTCAAACCCATTTTGATTGCTTAGTTGACTAGGATAAGTCCAGGTGAGAAATGCTGAAGGTGCAGAGGGTACTGTTTTCAGTTGTTTACTCAACTAGAACATTCTGTGCTTTGGCTGTTAGCAGATTGCGGTCCTCTCCCCATATCTAGATTTCACATTAGAAAGGCAACCTTGGCTACTTCTTTGTCCTTGCTTCTGGTACTGCTGTAGCTCATACATGGGGCCTCACATCTACCACTGAGGTAAACCCCATCTAGTTACTCATTTTTTCATATAGCATGTGAATCTACCAATCAATATTGTGGATTGGGAATTGTGAAGGTAAGGACTTACTTTGAATTCCAAACTCATTATTTCTTTGTTCCTTTTTCTTAAACGTACATACATATGTATGTACATGTGCTATGATACCCACGTGGAGGTCAGAGAAAAATGTGAGCTGGTTATCTTCTCCTACATTTACATAGGTTCTGTGGCTTGAACTCTGGTTTCCAGGCTTGCATAGCAAATGCATTTTACTTGCTGAGACATCCAGAGAGAGAGGGAGAGAGACAGAGAGAGAGAGAGAGGAGAGACCAAACAAATACTAAAAATGACTCCTTGCTGGCACAGGCAGGGCCCAAATACACAGCTCTACAGAAGATGGGCAGATGACATTGCCATGTCCTTCCCTGGTATTTCTGCCTGGGCTCCAGGAAATGGTGACCTCAACTTCTGACTTAGCGTCATAATTTATGCTCTTTCTTTGGCAGTGGTACCCCCAGATTCCTTCAGCTACATCTCTACGCAGGCTGCTAAGGGTTAATTCTCATCCAGAAGCCCAATATTTTCTTCCAAGTTTTGGATTTCCAAACTTTAAGAAAAGGAGGGATTTGGAAAATTATAAACTTCCCAAGAAGTACAGGGAATTTTCCTGTGGAAACATTAGCAGTGAAGGCAGAAGCTGGAGAACAGTGAGGTTAACAGTTTGATCATTAGGGCCTGAGGGCATTGCATGGGTTCTAAGAGAAATGGAGAATCATGGGGAACATGAAGCAGAGGACTGGCAGGATTTGACGGAAGTTCTGAACATGCTATAGGATACAGTGCTTCAAGTATACAGGAGGTGCAAGGGGCGTGCGCGGTGGGGTGTTAGCCAAAGAAACTACTTGTAGATTATTGCAAACATCTAGCTGGGAGTGGGAACACTGCAGGTGTGAGAAGCGTTTGGATGCTGATGCATTTGAGTGCGGTCTGCTAGCATTTATAACACATGTGCCTCGAAGAGGGAAAGAGGGCGGGCGTGAAGACGATGCCAAAGTTGCTGAGCTTGAGACTGGGAGGCGGGGCTGCAGTGGGGAGAGGAGACCATGGACAGTGGTTTGATTTCTGATCTGCTGAGTTTGAGAGGGTTCCCACACAGCTGAGAAGGTCCGATAAAGGAATGGGGTTCAAGACAGGCATCTGACCTGCAGATAAAAACAGGAATAGTAGGACACAGGTGTCATTTACAGCCAGGTTTTTACACCCTGTCCTACCTTAGATTATAGCTGTGCTCTCCAGGCAACTCAGTTTATACTCACTTGTTCTGATGAAAAAGACCTAAGAAATACTGTACCTGCTCAAAGGCATGGGGGTAAAGGAGCTCTGGGTGTGAAAACACTTTGTAAACAATCAAGAGCCGTTCAGACTGGAACGCAGCAGGTGTTTGAAAGTATCAGGTATCAGTTTGGTGATCCTGGCAGCGAGTCCTTTCACACTGCGCATAGAGAAATGTGGTGTAAAGCCATCATAATCCTTTTTAAATTTTTACTGCAGTCCAGTCTTTACACACACGCGCGTGTACACACACACACACACACACACACACACACACACACACACACACACACCTCCGGATTTGTCAAGACTTTCACATATGCCATTTCTGAGCTGCACATCGGTCTGATGTGATGTGAGAGATAACTGGGACAGGAGAGGGCAGATGTCCGTAGAGCTGGTCAGAGCCATGTAAACACCGGGATCCTCGTTCTGCAGTCCAGGCTAAATATAAACAGACCATTCCTTACCTAGAACGTTTACTGCAAAGGTTATAGGACGGCCCCGGTCCCACAACCTCCCATCCCGGCCGCGTCAGCAGTCCCCAGTGCCCATCTCTGATGGTACAGCCCTTTCCGTCTATCGCGAGACCAAGGTGCGTGCTTCCAGTTGCCAGGGCAACAGCGTTCTTTGAGGCAGCGGGCTTGGGACCGCTGCATCTTTCGTCTCCACAGAGGCGGTGGTGGCGGGAAAGACCCGTCCCCTTCGAGGGGGACTGGATGACGCTTGGATGTCAGAGACGCCAGTTAGTGCCTAGACGTTCAGTCTTCGTCCCCACCGGGAAGGTGAGGGACCGCACGCACCACAGGCAGAGGTCAGTAGCTGTGAGGCTGATTAGAAGGAGAGGGCGGACTCGGTCTCCAGGGGCTGGGCCATCTCGGTGGGTGTGGCCTGTCCTCCCAGGCCACAGTGGGGTGTAACTACAGGGGCGTGGCCACGCCTGGGAGGGACTGTGGCGTATCAGGGAAATCATGGTCCCTGCTGGAAACTTTCTGCATTAGTCCATCTTTCTGAACCTTCCTGCTACTACTGAGGTCTAGAGAACTAGTCAGTAGCTTAGACTGTAAACCGCACATAGTCATGATAGGAAAAAAAAAAAAAAAGGAAAACAAGAAGAGGGCTGATAAACATTGGCCTGGAACTCTGCTTATGGTGGAAGAAATGTAAACCAAATATATAGGTGGGTACCTTTGGACATCATCAGGCTGGGGAATATGACTAGACAAGCAGACTTGCAGCAAACCAATCTAGGGACACAGGCAGTTTTGCCTCATCAGAGCAGATCATGTACCATGAGCTCATCAAAAAAAAAAAAAAAAAAAAAAAAAAAAGTATAAAACGTTGGCGCGTGAGCATTTATTTCACGGACTATCATAAGGTGACTGATATTTTAATTTTGATTCTTTTAATACCCAAAGAAAATGTGCATTATGTATTATTCATGAGGAAATGTATGAAACAAACAAACAAAAAACCTGTTTGTACTAGTTGTTCTTCTCGTTGTAGACCCGCATAAGAGTGATTACTAATAACCACACAACAGAGTCAATATTAGGTTGTTTTGAAATCTCCTCTGCTCCTCTGCCAAGGAAAGGAATCCATCTTTTTTTTTTTTTTTTTTTTTTTTTTTTGTTTGTTTTTTCAGTTTTGCCTTAGGCAAATTTTTAAGACAAGGGTAGAAGGGAGCCATATTCTTTGCCAAATAATACGAATGTGCTGTGGCACAGCTGCTAATATTGTTCCCGCTGAAACCTCTAGAGATTTGTGGGCTGCCACAGTCCACACAGCTCTGACACATTGTCTTCTAACCTCCTGCTAGGATGGCCCATTAAGCTCCGCCTACAAAGTTCAATGACTTTCCTAGTTCAAAAACCCAAAGTCTTCCAATACCTCCAAAATACAGTATAGCCAGACCTGTCCCTGAGATAGCTAATTCCTTGGTACCAACCTCTGACTTAGTTACTTTTCTGCTACTGTGTAACAAAGCACCATGACCAAGGCGACTTAGAAAAGAAAGCCTGAAATTGACTTATAGTTTTAGAGGTTGGAGTCCATGATGGCAGAGCGAAGGCATGGCAGCTGGAGCAGCTGACCACCAGTCTGGATCTGAAAGTAGAAGGCAGGGAGAGCTAAGATGAAATGATGAGAGTTTGTGGAAACCTCAAAGGTCGCCCCTCCCCCATGAAGCAACTCCTCCAAAAAGGTCACACCTCCTAATCCTTCCCACCACACCCACTTAGTACATCATTGATTTCTTTGCAAACTGTCCTTGTGTTTTCTTCTGGTTCCTGGAAGATTGAATATTTTATATCTACTCATTACTCTTAACCTTAGCTTTTACTTTTATTGAAATAATATGGTCCAAATGTTAAACTTCTGTGAAATATTGACGTTGGAAGCAATAATAGAGTGACCCCTGGTCACTGCCTCTTGAGGCAGCCTCCTTGAACTCTTAACTATTATGCTTAATTAACTATTGTTTGGCTTTATCAATATTTGGATGTCCTCTTCAACTTCCTATAACGGATTTTTTTCTATATCTCTCCTTTTGGATATTGTTCCCCATGCCCATATACTCAGTGAAGGAATGATATTTGTTAAGTCCATACTCAGTGCTCAAACAACTAAGTACACATTGTTTGATTACTTTCTTGTACAGCTCCTCATTTTTCATTTGGAATTTTTGTGTGACAAGTGATTTCTTAAACACACAATACATCTATAAGATCTCATTACAATGATCTTTACTCTGATTGGTTTCCCAGATGGTCAAATACACAGATAGTCTGTCAGTTACATTTTCTGTGACCATAATTTATTCAATTTGATGTGTTTGGAGGGAATGTAATAGTAACAGACCAGTTTTTGATGCAAATGGAAAGATTTCTGGGGTCTTTTAGCTGATCCATGTCACAGATGGCTCCCTGTGTCCTGGCCTTTTTTTTTTTTTTTTTTTTTTGACATGCATTATATTGGCTGTGCCACATGTTTCCATCTCCCTGCTCCTCTCAAGCTTCAATAAGTCCTCCTTGACAGGATGCTAAGGGTGTGAAAAAGACGTTTGGCCTTTTAGTGACTTACGCTTTTCGGTGGTGATATGAGGGGGCCAGGGTGATCCATCATCCCACAGTAACAATGTCAGGCCCTTCCTGAGTGAGCCCAACCCCATTACAGAGCGTGAATAATGTTGACATCAATGCCTTTTTCAGTAGCTGAGTGGGAAGAGCTAACCAACTGTTCCCTGAAGTTAGCAGTGGTGACACACTGCACAGCTGGAGACTAAGCCATGTTATGCCTTGGGGAGGGGGAGGGAGGGTTGAGGGCAGCTTCAGCTTGTTCATGCTTCCTTCTGTGTGAAAAGCCACTTTGGACTCCTGAGTCTTTGGTTCACAAATGGCATGAAAGACAGGCCGCTTTGTAGAATAAGGAGGGATATTGTATTTTAATGTTTATACATAATCATAAGCCTTTAGAAGTGATCTGGCAGAAGATACCATTCATATTAAGCTGGATTCAGTTTCTTCTAGTTCTCAGTATGCATATTGTTCTACCATCACCAGGCAGATCTAGAAGAGTCTCTATCAAGGGCATGGTTTAGAAGGGTATATCCACAGTGTTTATCTTCTCCTTCTAGTTCAAGCTGTTCTGCTTAGTTTAAGTAGTTTCACTTCTAAAATCCACCCTAGACACAAAGTGGCGATAACGAAGACATTTTGTGGCTGGAGTCTCCTGTACAGTAGTTGGGGAGGATTGTTGACAAAGTACAGTCAGATAGTGCAAATCTGTCCTCTAATAAAGGATGTAGGTTTTATTCTCTTGTGCCAGTCAGAAGCAGAACTGCAGATTTTAGGAAGGGAGAGCTGATTAAATAAGGACTGAGCTGTGGAGGAGAGTGCTCCAAAAAAGTGGCTTGTCTGGAGCAGGAGAGGCTGGAAGGAGGGTGAGCCCAGAAGGAGGGAGCCAGGAGGCCTTAGCAAATCATTAAGATGCAGTGAACCCAGGCTGAGAGAGGTGTCCTTGGGGTGTTCTCCCAGGGAAGAGCAAGGAGGCATCTTGTTTTTCTGCACCACGACAGTGCACAGTGCCACAGTGCCACAAGCATTCACATCTGCATTCCACTTCAGATGTTGTCAGGATCTGATACATAATCCATAAACAAAGGGTTCCTTTGATGACCTTTGAAGAGCACTTATACACTTGGTAGTGAATAGGTTCTGAGTGAACTGGCTGTAAACCTAGATTGATTAAGGCGACATTTAGTCCTGGAAATTACTTGCTTCTTAACTCTTTTGGCTTGGTTCAGGATGTCGATGGATATTATAAAGGGAAACCTAGATGGAATTTCAAAACCAGCCTCAAATTCAAGATCACGTCCTGGGAGCAGAAGTTCAAATGCTTCTCTGGAGGTGCTCTCACCAGAACCAGGGGCCTTCAAGGTAATGGTTTGCTTGGGAAGGAACCGAGCTCTCAGCCACAACAGTTGAGGAACCCAAGGCTGTCCTTAACTCCCATTTAAATGTCGTCTTTGGAGGCCTTTAGGGAGTATTCACAGGTCCCTGACTTTTTCTTTTTGGGTATGCTTTTTTTTTTTTTTTTTTTTTTTTGCCTACTTTAGACTTTGTTAAAGTTTATGTGTTGTTTGGCTTCAGAAGGAAACTTTGTATTCCAATATCTAAAATATTCACACTGATATTTACTATAAAAATGATTCAGTATTTAAAAATCAATGGCTCAGGAGTATTTGCTGTGTACTGAAAGAACCAAGGTTTGAACACCCAGAACCACATAAAGCTGGATGTGTCAATGTACATCTATAATCCAATGCTTCTGTGGTGAGGTGGGGGGTTGGAGACTGGAGAATCTCCCAATGTTTTTGGCCAGCTAATCCGGTGTACATGGTATCTAACAACAGAGACCCTGTCTCTTGTTGTGAAGGGAGTTGCACACTTGCCAGTTTATTCTTAGCATCACACATCTTCTGCCCTTGAGATTGGTGCTAGGGCGCCCATTGCCGTAGTGGAATGTTGAGCATGTGGGTGGGTACCATCCAGTGGTTGAGGTTGGAGGCTGGAGTAGACAGTCCTCCAAAGAGAGAGTTCCTCTGAGAACCCAGCTCTCCCTGGGATGTATTTACCTCATTGTGACTCTCACTGTCCTGGGGCAATTTCGGAGTTTTGCAAACTGTGATTTCTCTTGACCCATTCATGAATGTCCCTTTTTGCCCTCTCTCAGGAAAACACAGCTGGGCCAAACTGCTGTTTTCAAAATAAAGTTTGTTGAAGCATAAAGGGAAGCTGAAACAAAATAGGAAACTAAGAATAACCAAAGCATGTGAGTCTCATTAGAAGACTCTTATTAGAAACACATCTCATTCAAAATTTGAAAACACTTCTGAGTCATTCAGCTCTTTCAGTGGCCGTACAGGAGAAGGGGCTTCTGTTGTGGACAACAGAGAGCAGGGCTCCTGGATCCTGAGCATAGCTCTTCAGGGCCAGTTTCAACTCTTCCCTGTTATTATTTAAGATTGTGGAACAATGGTATTTATTTGGTGAAGCATTAAACTTAACATACAGTTAAGTTGCACTTTGTTAAAAGTCCCACCTTTTTAGGAACATCAGTGTGTGTATTTACACATCTCCATATGTTCTTCCATTGGCGATAAATGCTACCAAGCGTGAAGTTTTAAGAACATGTATTATCTTTTTTTAGTGTCTTTGAGTATTATGTTTTGGAAATTCTTTTGTTGAAAATTACTTTTAGATTGACATGGTAAACAAGTTGAATTTTAGTAAGGAGGACCACTCATCAAATAGTAGTCTGGAAGAAAGAAGACATACTTATGATGACAAGTGGGCAGACTACTTTGAGAGCACAAAAGCAGCCAAAGATGGCTCAGACGAAGACCCAGACTTGCTTCAACAGATGATGCCTGAGCATCCAGGTGGGATGATCACTGGAGATTGGCTAATGATAATTGCAGATACTGTATTTAAAATATTAGGAGTATATAGCAAAAAGGAGACATGCTTTTGGTGGGAAATTAATCACATTATTTTTACATATAAGAATGTTGAGTCTTTAAATACATTGAGAAATATAACAAAACACGTTACTTCATAAAATTATTATTATGCTCATAAACATTCATTAAGGGGGAGTATTTCTGTATTGTATGGCATGGTCCATGCATTGGTTTTGATGGCTAATGTTGCAGGATAAGATGTATCAGGTCATTTATAAATACCCTCTAAGGGTAATCCCAATGATGATGAATAATACTAATATCTTAAAAGCTACTTTTCTCATGACATAGATTAATTCTGGTAGGTTGATTTAGAACAGCAGTTCTCTGTTGCGATGTGCAGACTCTAGGGTTGTGGGTGTCTCTGGGACTCTTGAAGACTCTGTGGGGTGAATGCCATTCTCATCATGACACTAAGGTGCCATTTGCATTTTTGCCTACTGTACTGGCATTTGTAGTGATGGCCCAGAAGTAATGGTGAGTCAGCTGCTTGGGGCTAACTGCCAGTCCAGACCATGACACCAAATTGTACGGAATTGTTAAGAAACCACTAAGGAACTTGTCAATTCCCAGTATTTATTTATATTTTTTTCATGTTGTGTGAGTTTGTTCAAAATACCTTGCATATGGACTACCTATGGGCAATGAGCCTGGGAATTAAGTAGCATCATTTTAGAAACCTCGTTATTAGGTTGATACTCTTTCTCCATGTTTTCCCTCTTTTTTTCCTTAAAGAGGTAGAGATGTACATTATAGGCAAGTGTCACTGATTCTTTGGGCTCTCAGTTATGATTTTAAGTGATCTTACCTGGGAAGTCTGAGACAGTACAGGAGCACTGATGCTCATTTCAATTTTATCAGTTTTTCCGGGGGTGGGGGGGAGTGCTACCTGGTAGCTAAATGCTCTCACTATGGAGTCAGCTTACTGTTTTGTTTACTTACTGTTTTGGATATGCATACAACTCAAATACAAATTTGCCTCAGCTTACTACTCAAAATGCAGAAAGGATGCATTGGGCTATGAGGAGAACTAACCAATGATGAGGACTGACTTGTGCATACAAGTAAAGCACTTTGCATTGTACCCACTGGGCAAGTCCACAGATGACAGTTGCTTATTGTTGTTATCATTAGTTATGTTGTCAGTTAAGCCCCTAATGACAAAACGTCTAAAGTCCTTAATTTCAAATAAGATAGCACCTGCTATCATCTTCTCACAAACAGTTTTATGCGACTCAGGAAACCAAAAAAAGAGGGGTGAGAAAAGGCATGCCTGTGGATGCGGAATACATGTGTTTTAACCCCTCTGCGTGGGTCAGGATGTACTGCCCTCTACTGTAGGTCTCTGGTACACGCTTTCTCTTTCAGTTAGTCTAAACCAGTTTCAAATAGAGTCCATGTGTCAGTCTTTACTTTTTATTTTGTAGGTTTGGATATAGACAATCTAGCAGGATAAAGGAGACGTGGGACTTAAAATCACAAGAGAACCACATCTGTGCCCACTGCTGTAACTTATAAGCCCTTAGAAGGGCCCAGTGTCCCCACTGTAGAAAAGAGCTAAATGTCTGTCTCTTGGTGTGAGTGGACAGTTACGTGAAAAGACATTCAAGAAATTATTGTCCATGAAGTTAGTACTTAACCCTGATTGTATTAGGTGTCCCTAATGGCTGTAAGTACTGGCTGAATGAATGAACAAAGAGTAAAATCAAAACAAAGCCTTGCTGTTTTATCAAACTTCAAATCCATTTCTACCTTTAACACAATGCAGGTAATCCCAAATTAGAAGAGTCAGATGCTCAGCTTCAAAATGCAATTCGTAAGATGCACAGACTGGATAAAATACTGGCCAAAAGACAATGCAGAGAAAAAGAAGTTAAAAAGAAAGGTGTAGAAATGAGAGTTAAGCTGTGGGAAGAACTCAAGGTAAGAATGGTAAGTGTCAGGTTCCTCTGATATTAAGAAAAGTGTGGCCTGAGGCAGTGGTAATGTGGTCCTGCAAAGTGGTGGCCATGCGTGGGTGCATGTGTGCGTGGGTGCGTGTGTGTGCGTGTGTGCGTGCGTGCGTGCTTGCATGTGTGCATGTGGGGAGCATTGGTCTGTGACATTCCAGCCTTCTGGCCCTGTTCTGGCATGCTCATTACCTGTGGGCAAGCCCAGAAAACCTCTCTTGCCAGTGTCAGATTGGCCCCCCTCCATTTCTGACTAGGAAGGGATGTGATGGCGATTTTTACCAAAGATATATGCCTGCCTTTTCTCCCTTGAGCTCATAGTTTGGAGAGAAACAGACAAGCACACACAAAACACTAACTGGTTGGCATTGTTGATTAAACATTCGGGACAAATAAATTGCGGGGCTCACTGCTTCATGTGCTGGTCAGATCCTTCCGAAAAGTCACAAAACGGCTTCAGCCTGGGCTATGGTCCATTTGCCTCTGTGTTGCCACATTTCCAGAGCCCGATTTCAGCTTTTCCTTGTCCTCTGTTGGCCTCCTGTTCTCCATAGCACCGAGAGGTCGGAGTTGGACAAATGTTGGCACAGACTCTTAGAGCCACTGACTCATATAGTAATCTGCCCCTCAAAGGAGAGCGACTGTGAGAGGGATCATGTAGTAACCCACAGCTGATGCTGGCAATGTCCTCCTTAGTCACTGGCTAACTTCAGAGGGTACCTGTGGATAACTCAATATATACACACATATATATGTAATTCAATATATATGTACATATATTTGTATGTACCTGTGCATAACTCTCTTCAATCTAACACTCTCCCAACTGAGCTATTTTGGCACTGTTTGCATAACTCTCCGTCTCTCTCTCTCTCTCTACACACACACACACATTCATGAAGATACTCTAAACAATATGTATGTAAGTTTTTTTCTGGGAAAACACACGGGTGGAATTTTATAGAAACAGGGAATTTTAACAGATTTCCTAGGTGAAGGAATGCAGACAACTGAACCTTCCTGTGTGTGTATATACACAATTGAAAACTGGGTTGGAATAAGAACTGGTGGGCATATTTGCTTTTTCATATTCAAACTTAAGCTGTTCTTTCATCAGTCTGCAAAAAATACAGAAGACTTGGAAAATGACGAGGAGTTGGAAAACACAAAGAAGTTTTTGTGTTTGGCTTCAAAATCTGCGGAGACAGCTGGTAAGTAGAGAGGGAGGCCGCTGAAGCGGCTATCCCAGGGTTGATGTGCGCTGCCTCTTTGTGAGTTGGCCCATGGCAGAGGAAATAATTGATCACATTAGGTAGGATTGAGGAAAAGTGTCTGAGGGTAGGTCTGTTTTAGTGTTTTAAGGGCTGTATCTATCTACAGGGGAGGAAGGGAGAGAGCAGAGGAAACCCTGAAGCAGGCCTGGGTGTCTTTGTAGTCACTTCCTGGCCCTCTCATATCCTCTAGATGCCATTTTACAATCTCAGTCCTCTGCCAAGGACTCACTAGGGATCACTTATTTCTGTGCAACCCTTTGTAAGAATCAATTGCTGATTTGCCTATTTCTTGCTTTCTCACAGCCCTACTTTTAGAGGCTAGTCAATCAATCTTTCTTCCTTCCTTTCTTTCTCTTTCTTTGTTTCCCCTTCATCTCTTCCTCCCTTCCTCCCTCCCTACCTCCCTCCCTACCTCCCTCCCTTCCTCCCTCCCTCCCTCCCCTCCCTCGCTCCACTCCCTCTCTTCCTTTATGGTAAGACAGTTTTTGAATTCCCTTCCATATATCAAATAGGTGGCATTCCAGTTTTGTATGGGTAGGGATGTTCTAAGTTGGGCCTCTGAGTTCTTTTAGAAGGCTGAGTTCCTTTTGTCTTTTTCAAAGGGAATGTTTAGCATTTCAGAACCCCAAATGCCTGATTCTGGTACTGGAGAGTTGTGGTGGAGGTATAGTCTGCAGGAGAGCATCTCTTCACACTTGTCCCTTTCCTGGCCAGCCCTGAAAGCTCAGAACCTTGAGTGATTAGGTTTTTGTTTTTTTCAGTAAATAATTTATTTTATTGCTTTCAGTGTTTCTGCTGAATATTTGTGTCTCCCATCTTGCACCTTGTCTTTTCTGTGATGGAATAACACTTAAGTTTATGGCGCTTTAATGTTTCTGCTTAAAGATTTAGGCATATGCATTACTATTGAAGTAAAATGAAAATGCAAATGTCATCTGATACTACAGACAATATATGAGAGGAGAATAAATAAATAAAAAGGAAATTCCATTATGTGATGTAAAATATAAATTCTAAATTATATTGACTATCAGTATTGTATATTTAATGTATTTATAAATGTAAATTGTACTATTAATGTATTTGTAGATATAAATTTTATTATTAATTCACACTGGCTAGAGCAATCAGGGTTTACAGTGCACCAGACTTTTTTCCTAAGAGCCTGGGAGTTCCATCAGCATTGCCCCCTGTGTATTGAAGGACTTCTTTGTCAGTGGACTTACTGCCATTAATGAAAGTGATAAGGCATACACTGGGAAAAGGACAGCCTGTTAAATTAATGGTCCTGGCAAAACGTGATAGCCATCTGCAGAAGATTGAGATTATATCCATATCTCTCATCCCACACAAAAATCAGTTCGAAGCAGGTCAAAGACCTTAATTTAAAACCCAGAACACTGAAACAACACTTTAGGATAGAGGTGTAGGAGGGACTGTTTTGAATGGAACCCCAATAGCTCCAAGAATTGACAAATGAGATTCTGAGGAACTAAAAATACCTGATGAGCCAATGAGATGACTCAGTGGGTAGAGGCACTTGCATCCAAGTCTGAAAACCTGAGTTCAGTCTCCTGAGACTGAGAGAAGTCATCCTGTCACCCCCACATGCTATACACATACATGCACATGTGCAATGAGCAAGTATATATACATATAAATTCAAAAGCTCCAGCACAACCAAAGAAAGTAACTACAAGTTGAACGGATAGCCTGCAGAACAGAAGGCACATTTACCAGAACAGATAGTTCTGAAAAGGTGAAATGCAGATGACCAGGAAATATTTTTTAAAAGTGTTCAACATCCTTAATCATCAAAGAAATATACACAAGTCAGAGGGGCTGTCATCAAGAAAACAAATGAGGCATGTTGGGGAGGACAGGGGCAAAGAGGAACTCGTCCTCACTGTTGGTCAGAGTATAAACTGGTGAAGCCATGGGAATCAGAGTGGCTCAAAACGACAACCGGAACTGCCCTACCGCCCAGCGACATCGCTCCTGGGCATCCACCCAGAAGATTCCATGTCATACATAGAAATACATGCGGGCTGCAGAGATGGCTCAGAGGTTAAGAGCACTGGTTACTCTTCCAAAGGTCCTGAGTTCAATTCCCAGCAACCACATGGTGGCTCACAGCCATCTGTAATTGGGTCTGGTGCCCTCTTCTGGTGTTGAAGTAGACATGTAAACAGAGCATTGTAAACACAATAAATAAATCTTAAAAAAAAAAAAAAAATACATGCACACTTAGGTTTGCTCTGTTCACAATAGCAAGAAAATGGAATCAGCCTAGCTGTCCATCGAAAGGTGAATGGATAATGAAAGTGTGGTATGTGCACCCAATGGCGTTTATCAACAGTAAAAATGAAGTTTTCAGGAAAAGAACTGATTTCCAGAGAGGCAACCCAACCTCAGAATGACAGTGAGTGTGTGTCCTCGTTCAAATACCGATTCTAGATTCTAATTTATATATGTGTGTGTTTATGTGGGAGTGAGTGTGTTTAGAGATCACGGAACTAGAAAAGGGCCCAAGGGAAGGAGAAAAGCAGCGTTGAGGGAGGCAGATGGGGAGGGTAATAGAACACAGAATATGAAAGCAGGCCAAGCCTATGGAGGCATTTTCAATTAGGATTTCCTTCTCCTTAGCTTGTGTCAAGTTGGCATAAAAGCTACCTAGCACACTTATATCTACCCATAGAGTGTTTCTGTGTCGTTAGGAAACAGGGACTCTATATTTCACATTTTTGCACATTGTCCACTGGGTGGCAGCATCTAGTCACAACCCATGCTGAAAGGAGCAAAGCTCTCAGCATGGAACTTAGTTTGTCTTGAACTTAAAATTCACACCTACAGGTAGTTCCTCATGGATTCCTGAGGTCTTCCCCGGATCACAGCTCCTCAGAGGAGACTATATTCTGCCTCCCTTTCCTTCTGTCTTGAGTCTGGTCTCCAATATTTCTTTCTTAGGCTGTTCAGTGTTAGTCTCTTTATTGTGTCTTCCTGTTATCCTTATTTCCCAATGATGTATTAGTTATTTATTGCTGAAAAACAAATTAACCTCAGAAGCTGCTGTATTAAGAGAACAAGCAGTTCTGCCCTTAGAATTTCATCCATTTAGGAGGAGTGTGGCTGGGTGGTTCTGACTAGGTTTCTTCATGACACATTTGATGGTCATATGAAGGCACTCCTGCAGGCGCTCCTGGGGCCTGAGGCTACTTCTAAAATCACTTGAAATACCTGGAAGATCTTAGTTCCCTGCACACCTTTGGCTGTGCCTCTTAAGTTTCTTATGAATTCCACAAAAATTCCACTGTTGAATACTTACATGTCCTTACAAATTGGCAGCTTGTATCCCTTAACACAGGATGTAAGTACTCAATAGACTGGGTTATTTTTTAGCATTTCCATGATTACTAAACAGTATTAACAAGAATTAATAGGCAGTTTGGCAGGTTTCACATATTTATTAGCTATCAATTGGTTTTATGTAGCCCTTTACTATTATTACCACTTCAACATATTTTCACAAGTTCTAAGTGATATATGGAGAAAAGAGACTTTTTATAAGTTTATGATTAACTATTATAATTTATACTCTATTATGTAATGTTTTATAATTAATTAGATCATGTTATTCATTCTGATTATGTTTAGTTGTATGCCTTGGGTCTTGTTAATTTTTGTGTCTTCTTCAGTAATTGTTCCCATTCCCAACACTAATCATAGACTTAGTGTTGGAGATTCATTCAGTCCCTTTCAATAGCTATTTGAGTTATAGATTTCTTTCTTAACAAAATTAACATTTTAAAATTAGTAGATTTAAATAGTGAATCTATTTTTATTCCTAGGTCAGCCCTTCTTTGCTTATGGAAGATTGTTCTTTTAATTGGTACCAATTTGAATGGCTGAATTTATTCAGACGTTTGTTCCTATAAAACAGGATTAGAGGCAAAGAGATGGCTCAATGGGTTAAGGTGCTGGCTGCCAAGCCTGATAAACTGGGTTCCATCCCTAGAGCCTGCATGGTTGAAGGAGAGAACCAGCTCCCTCAAGTTGTCCTCTGACCTCCACATGTGCACTGTGGCGTGAGCACACCCACACATATATGCACATCTATGCACACAAATAAGTAGGTAAACAGAATGCAGCATTATTAGGTTTTGTGTATATACATGTGTGTACATATGTGAGCATTTGTATGTGCAAGCATGGATGTTGTGCGCGTGTGTGTGGGGAGTAGTGGTGTATGTGCTTTGCTAGCTTTGTTAACTTCAGAAGTTGAGTGATCATGGCCACATTTATTTCTATGCTTTGAGACAATTTACATTACATGGGGATTATCTGTTCCCTAAAAATCTGGACGGTTTCGCTGGAAACACCATCTGCCTCAGATCGTCTCTTGGAGGCGGTTCCCTGACTCTTTCGGGTGTCTCTCACGTGTGCTGTCCTCCTATTTGCTGGTCCTTCTGGAGTCAGCTTGGGCAGGACTCCCTCACTCTAGATTTGAAGTCTCCACATACACAATAAGAACAACCCCACGAATGCAGCTTTTCAAATCAGTATCTTAATAGTAATTCCCCACATTGTGTGTCTTCTTACTATGTCTAATTTTGTTCTTGATTTTCCCTACGTGAAAAAAAAAAAAATAAAAGGAAATCAAGAAAAAAGTAAGCCTTTAGTTTTAGCATGACTCCAAATTCACAGAGAAGGTACAAGTAGGGTACAGATTATTTTTTCCTGTTTACACCACCCCATCAGGGTTCATGAGTGTGGTATATTTCAGGTGAGCCAGTATTGGTATCACCTTATTAAGCAAAAGCCAACTTCAATCACATCTCATTAAGTTTTCCTAATGTTCTTTTCCTGTCCCAGGACCCCACACAGGACATCATAGTACATCAGTCCTCATGTTTCCTTAGCCTTCTCTTGGATGGGCCACTTTCTGTGCTTCCTTGTTGGAGACAATCGTGGCAGTTTTGAGGAACATGGTCAGGCATTTTTGTAGCATATCCACCAGCTGGGATTATCTCATGGCTTTCCCATGGTCAGACCGAATTGCATACTGTCGGGAGGAAGATGACAGAGTTAAAGTGCCATTTTCATTATGTGCCACCCTGTCGATGTTAACATCCCTCCCCTGGCTGAGGAAGTGTTTGTCCCATTTTCCCATTGTAAAGCCACTCCATCTCCCTCTCTTCCAACTGAAGAGGAACATCTATGAGGAAGTGGCTATGTACAGTCTTTGTCTGAGGAGGGATGAGCCAAGCTTTGACTCAGTGGGAGCAGAATACGGGCCTACATTATTCTGCAGGGGAGATTTGTCTGTTTTCTCTCTTATTCACTCACTTGTGTCAGTATTGGACTGATGTTAGTAGATTTTGAGTTGGATTTCAAACCACTTTGTTGGATTGGCTCTACTTCCCCATTTTGGCCATTAGATGGTCTCTGCATCCCTTTGCCCCATTTCTGTCACTATGGGATTTGTTTTGTTCCTCTTGCCAGGCATTATCTTCTCTTTTTGGCTTCTGACTCTTCTGTATTTCCCAACTGAGTCTTGGAGTCAGCCATGTCTCCAAGGAGTCCCGATTTCTGTCACTAGAGAGTGGTGTTAGACATCAGTGTCTGGATGCCAGGTGCAATTTCCTCTAGGAAAAGACTTGCATGTGTATACTAATCCATTATGCACATGTCTATAAGTATACCTGTATGTAGCCATCTCTGTAAGGAGCTAATATTGAGTTCACATATACTCATGTGTTTGCCTATACGCCACCATCCCTCATGGACCATTGTGTCCTAAACCTCTGCCTTATCTGTAACATTCTATTCCAACAGTGAGAAACCTTTTTGTACACTCTGCCATCGCTTTACTTAATTGTTCAGTTGCATGGTACACAAACAGTATCGATAACCCACAGAAAGACACTTTGATCACCTGGGATGTAGTTCTCACATTTAGTTTCTGTTAACTTTAGTCTTTTAAGTTCCATTTTCCAGAGTTAGAGATTTGGAGTTAAGCAGGCACCTTTTCATATGTTTCTATTTAATGGGATTGTGTTATACATTTGTCATTCATTTGGATTATCTTGCCACATTTCTGCATTCCATATTTGAGATTCCTCAATCTTTTACATGAGTTTTTTCCCCCAGAAGATTTACAAACATCAATTTTCATTCTTTATATTCTGGTGGAAATATTTTTTAAAAAGACATAGTGCCATGCATTCACAATTACTGTGTTATATAGAATAGTCTTACTGCCCTAAGAGGACCCATTGTGTCAGTCTTCATTCAACTCTCCTTCCCCAACCTTCTAGCTGATACTATGTTTTACTTGGGGGCAGGAACTGATGCAGAGGCCATGGAGGAGCGATGCTTATCACCGTGTTCCTTGTGGCTTTCTCAGGCTGCTTTCTTATAAAACCCAGGACCACAAGCACAGGGATGTTAACCACTCACAATGGGCTGGCCCTTCCCATGTACTTGTCCATAAGCAAACCTTAGGGAGGCATTTTCTCAACTGAGAGTCTGTCTTCTAAAATGACTCTAGCTTGTGTCAAGTTGATGTAAAACTAGCTGGGACAAAGATATATAATAACTAAATTAGCTAATATGAGAACATAAAAAAGTCTTCAAACATTGTAATGTCTTGTTTTCTTCATGGAGCTTAGCCCAAGAGAACACTGACTTCCACTAGTTTCCCAAATGTGCTCTCTCTCTCTTTTAAATTAAAAAGTGTGTGTGTGTGTGTGTGTGTGTGTGTGTGTGTGTGTGTGTGCAGGTAGGCGGGAGTGCATGTGTGGAGGTCAGAGGACTTGGTGGAGTTGGTTCTCTCCCTCTGCCTTTACTCAGGATGGAACTCAGGTCATAAGGCTTGCGCAAGTGCCTTGCCTAGGTGCTATCTTGCAGGCCTTGTCTTTTGTTTTTGTTTTTGTTTGTTTGTTTTTGAGACAGAGTCTTATGTAGCCCAGACTGTCTTTGAACTTGCTGTATCTCAGACAATGACCCTGTACTCCTGGGTTTCCTGCGTCCTCTCCCTATTGCTGGAATTGCAGGTATTTGCCACCATGACTAGCTCAGAGGCATTCTGCTAATGTATTGATGTTTAATAAGAATCAGGAGAAACAAATAGATGTTTATTCAGGGAGAAATAACTTATAACATAGACAGATGAACACCAGCAGGTTCCTGATCTCAGGGATGCCTCTGGATGTACTCCTGTCCCCGTGCTGCAAGCAAGAGCTATCCGAGCCCCCTCCTCAGACTTAGTTCCCCCAGGTAATGTCTGCCCATGTCTCCACCCTCAATGGGCGTGGTCTGTGCCACAGGTGTGGACAAAGTGACTATCTCACTACACTAATGGCTGAGTATACCTTTAAAATCTTCAACTTGGAGGCCTAAAATAAAGAGGAAAAATGTAATTCTGTTACTGAGTGTGCGTATTGTCTGTATCACAAGCCCTGGGATCTGCAAAGGTCATTGGTAGAGAATGGTGATGCTCTAGAGTGCTCTAGTGCATCTAGGAAATGCTATCTGGCTGTCTTGTGTTGGGAAGTGCTGACTGGCTGTCATCTCCATGGCTCAAGTGATGATGACTGCCTGCCATTGCAATGTGGGTGTGGCACTGACTCAAGACACAGTTCACGTGTGTGGAGGGGATTGAGGAATAGTAGAGGACTATTCAGTCCTCTGTCTCTCTTCAACTGTGTGCATTATTTTATTTTGTGAAGATTGAACAAATGCTTTTTTCTCTTTTTTTTATCAGTAGAGCCTTCACACTGTGAGTTTGAAGACACGTTTTTCTCAGTGTTTCATACTCAGATTTCTCCAGAAAATTATGAAAATTGCATCCAGGATATCAAGAAGGGTATGTTTAATTTGTGTGATTATATAGATTGCCACAGGAGGATGCTGGCTGTATATGGAAATACCCACAGATGAAGGAGACTTGATATAATTTAGAGTAATGGACAGATAAGAAGAAGAAGAAGCTAGAGTTTGGTGCAGCATAAGGGCCGAGGCTGTAGCTCAGTGGCAGAGTGTCGCCTAAGACATGAGAGGTACTAGGTTGAATCAGAGCACTACGAACATATGTAGCATACACTACTTTATGAGTTGACCCATGGTAAAGTTACTTGTTGAAACATCGTATTGCATTCTGTTACTGGATGTTTGAAATTTTTCCATGATAGTTTTTAAGAAGTAGCCTGTAGACTTCCTGTTCCTGCAGCTCTTACAGCTTATAGTCTCTTTACAATTGTAATGATGTGGTCATTTTGAATTTTCCAATGTTAGATTTTACCTGTGATGTGAAAAAGATGAGCCTTTGATCAAAGCAGAAAAGCAACCCTTTTCAAACACAGAAAGGATTCCCCTTCCACGACATTTCCTGATCCTTAGTTGTCTCGTATCACTTGGGCTGGACACCCCACCACCACTTGTTCTCTGCATTTTGATTGGTTGTGAGAGAGGGAGAAATAGTTTTCTTCAGGAAAGAACCTCCAAATTGGTTATCCTATACCCAGTGGTCAGCCCTGAAACCATACCATACAAATAACCTTATTCAGGTTGTATTTAAAAGTATATATATATATATATGTATGTATGTATGTATGTATGTATGTATGTATATATTTATGATACATGTCTCAACAATGAAAAGAAAAGAGGCCACGATTAGAGAGAGTGAGCAAGGCAGGTACCTGGTGGTGGTGGTGGTAGGGGCTGGAGGTAGGAAAGAGAGGGAGGGAAATTAAAATTGTATTTTAATTTTAAAAGTATGTTAAAAAGTAGACTGCCGCTGATAGAAATCTGGCCTAAGGAGGATAGGGAGAAAATAAGTACAAAACAAAGAAAAAATCCATATAATGCTTCTGGGTCGAGAATTCAAAACTTATTTCTTCTATGTGTGTTTTTAAGATATATTTTAGCATATAATTGAAATGAATTTTTAGTATGATTCACAATTGTAATTATGAGATCATGTTGAACTTTTTCAATACTAGATTTTACCTGTGATGTGGAAAAAAATGAGCCATTGATCAAAACAGAAAAGGAACCCTTTTCAAACACAGAAAGGATCGAGCTTAGGAGTAAATCCAGCCAGGATTTTATTAAGCGAAACATTGAGGTGGGTATCTCACGATTCAAAGACAATGTGGGAGTAAGCCAGTGGCAGAGAGGGTCACAGCGTGCACGTTATTCATCGCCTGTGTGAGGGTAGCATATCTGCGTGTGTGCATACATGGGCACACATGCCTATGCAGGCTTTCCCGTCTAGTTAGATCATGTCTCCCATCTTGCCCCGCCCTACTCTGTCTCCAATCCTATTCCATTTCTTTCAAAACTGCTAGGTACAACTACACGTTTTATCACTCATAAATAGTCTAGTTCCTGAAATGCAAAAGTGTTTTGAGCAGAGCATCCCCTCCAGATTTTAACTTGTACGTCAATAAAGCGTGCACTCGAGTGTTTATTTATTGACTCATTTTTGTTACGGGTTTGTATTTAAAACTTGGAGTGAAAGACCTTCCTGGCAGAGCAGCAAGGCTGGCTCAGAGAGAACCCCTGGTAGTTTTCCCTCCTCTGACCGCCCTCTGGTCCCTCTTCTTGCTCCCCTCTGAACCTGCGCTTGTCCCCCTCTGATTACCCCTCATTCCCCTCGGATCCTCCCTCTTGTTCCTCTCTGGTACCCCTCTCTAATCTCCCCTCCTATCCCTCCTCTGGTTCCCCCAGCACTTGGTCACTATCCTTGATTCAGGGGCTCATCCTTGGTGCGCCACAGTTCAGGCAACCTGCTTTGGTTTGTCTCTAAGGTAGAGGCAGGTTAGTTAAGGGCACAGGGACTCCTTTATTTAATTCATCCATAAGGAATGTCTGTGGGGTGGACAGAGGCTCACAGTGATGACTTGGATAGCTAGTCCAGGAAGCCACACTGGAAAGCGTAAAGCATCAGGAAGATGAGAGCCACGTTTTCTCAGCTCAGGCCTGAGCTCTTCTCACAACTGGCCTGCCATTCCAGGCAGCTTGGTCCCCGAGTCAGTCTGCCACTGTGAGGCCAGCCTTTGCACTGTCAGGCTCCTGAGCCCCATGTTTGTGTGACTTCCAGGAACTGTCTCCAACTTCATCTGTTCTTGTCACCACTGGCCCATTGGCTCTTGATGCTTTGTTTTGTTATCCAGGAATGGTGGAGTTCTCTGTTTCTGAGTTCTCACTATCACACACAATAACTCCAGTTTAGATTTTCCTTCTCTCGTTTTAACAATGGCAATGGAGTCTTTATTTAAATGCTGTATACGATAGTCTATAAATTAATTAATTTTTGAGATAAGGTTTCATGTAGGTCACACTGGCCTCACACTTGGTGGGTGGGCGAGGATGACCTTGAACTTCTTGATCCCTTTGCTTCAGCATCCCAAGTGCTGAGATTATAGAGACTATAAATGCGTGGCCATGGTGTTCAGTTTTATGAGGTGCCAGAGATTGAACCAAGGGTTTCATGCATGTGAGGCAAGTCCTACCAACTGATTTGTATGTCCAGCCCTAACATTCTAGAAAATTAAAGCAGTTTCACAAAGTGGCTGTGTGGTACCAGAAAGTATCCAGGTGTCCTTCTTGGTGTCTTGGCAAATGCTTTTCTGCTTCTACATCTGTGTATCTATGTCCTCTACATAAATACACCTATTTGTCTGTCATCTGTATCTATATGTCTGTCACCTGTATCTAATCTATATGTCTGGAGAAAGAAGCTTGAAGGCAGTTTACAGTAAACAATACACACACACACACACACACACACACACACACACACATATATATATATAAGACTGTTGAAGTCATTAATAAGAAGGCTTGCCTGGAGCCAGTGAGATGGCTCAGTGGGTAAAGAGTACTTTCCCCAAGTTAGAAACAATCTTATTTTATATTTCAATACAAGTTCCCTCCCTCCCATTCTCCCATGCCTAATCTCTATAATTTTAAAACTTACCATATCTATTTCGTAGAATTCTCATTTTTTTTTTACTGGATTATACTTTTCACTGCATGTTTACATTTCTTAAATACACCCTGTAGTTGGCCAAGAATTCCAGAAGCCCAGTGGTTATGATCGACAGAGAGAAGAAAAGGCTGGATGAACTCCTGAAAGGTCTGGACGACATAGACACAGGACTGTCCAGTTCTGAGGTATGAAAATTCAATTGTCAATGACTTCACCTTCCTTAATCTTCATTACGCCATTGGCCTCTTAGCACGGTCACAATTTTCCAGTTAGAAGACGTTCTCTGCGTTTACAATCCTAATGTTTTCAAAGTTATCTCCTCAAAGAAACATGCTCTTCTCAAGCGCTTGGCACTCTGGACTGACTTTTATTTCCCCCCAGCTGAATAAGGATTTGATAAGATGGGGGTGGGTGGGCTCTGGGCCCTGCCACAGCCCCTTTAGCTGCTATCTGTGGAAGACTGGGACACACAGGCTCAGAGAAAGGGTAGTGTTTACTGGAGATTGGAGAGTAGTTCCTGTGCAGTGATAGCTGTGGCCACAGGGGAGGGTGTATACCAGATGAACACTTGGCCTCAGCTCCATGACTATCCTGGCTGCAGGGATCTGACAAATTTTTAAGAGAAGCTAGAGAATCAGATTTTTAAATGGAAAACATGTTTTAAATGTCAACAATTAACTCTTTGGAAAAAATTCTGTGTGAACAAACACAACATCCCTTCTTCCACTCCAAATCCAAAGCAAACCTTGGAGCCTCACAGATTACAACCTCTAAGGTCCCCATGGGTGCTGGGTGCAGGAATGGAGGTGAAGGGTGGGCCTCCATTCTGAGGTTGCTAATCGTGGTAATTGTCTTAGTTTATTAACAAAACTTAAGTAGTAGAATTGGCCACCCAGGGTTCATTTTTAGTTGTTGGATTAACTATGAAGCTGGGCAAACCACTTCTGTTGGGTTAGTCAGTACATGGTACCTCTCTCTAACTATTCTTGTAATGCTTTGACAGTGAATTTTTTTTTATTAATATTGCTTTGGCTTGTTGGCTTAGTATTTATGTTTCATCCCTCACATTTTAAATTGCATAATATCAATTTAAACATATTTTTGATATTTTAAACTATTTTTTTGTTATTTGGAATGACCATGATAATATTGAGAACATTTCCTGACTTCAAATTATGTATCTTAATGATCGTATTTGATGTTTTATTTGCTAGCTCTTTTCCCCTCGAATTATTTGGGAATCCAGTCTTATTTCTGACCTGGTATTGTTACTATTCCCCAATTTTAGAAGTAGTTCCTTGTACTGGCTGGTTTTGTGTGTCAACTTGACACAAGCTAGAATCATTAGAAGGAAAGGAACCTCAGTTGAAAGATGCCTCCATGAGACCAGCTATAAGGCATGTTCTCAATTAGTGATCAGTGTGGGAGGGCCCAGCCATTGTGGGTGGTACCATCTCTGGGCTGATGGTCCTAGGTGGTATAAGAAAGAAGGCTGAGCAAGCCAGGGGAAGCAAGCCAGTAAGCAGCTCCCCTCCATGCCTCTGCATCAGCTCCCGCCTCTAGGATCGTGCCCTGCTTGAGTTCTTGCCCCGACTTCCTTCAGTGATGAACAATGATGAGGAAGTGTAAGCTGAATAGTGAATAAACCCTTTTCTCTCCAACTTGATTTTTGGTCTTTTTTTTTTTTTTTTTGTCACAGCATTAGAAACCACCAACTAAGACATTCCTAAGTTGCACATCTTGACCAGCCTAGAATTGTAGGATTGATTTTCTCCTCCCCCCTTCCTTTTCCTTTCTTCTTGGATATGTTGGAATAATTTGAAGTTTAGTTGCAGAATATTAAAGTTTTTAAAAACCTTTGAAATGGTATATTTCTAGATTTTAGGAATTTTTTTCTTTGTGTGTGTGTGTGTGTGTGTGTGTGTGTGTGTGTGTGTGTATGCAGTAAATACTTGTGTACAAGTGTTGGACGTATACATCCCTACATATGAACATGGAGGCTGCAGGCTGGTGCCTCTACTGTCCTCCTTTGTAGCAAAGCAGGTTTTGTAGTGGGACCCAGATCTCCTATGTCTAATATTAGTGAGTGGATGAGCCTGGCTGGTGGTTACTAAGTTACCTGCTTGATCCCTGACTGGAAAGGAGGTTAGGAAGATCATCTGGCTTCTATCTCAGGAAGGTGAGGCACCTGCAAGCCAGAAAGTTTAAGCTTCCCACACAGACTGACAGTGTCTATCTAGGTGGTGCTGGACAGGCAGAGTCAGACAGCATTACCTTCTATGGTGATATATTGTTTACGGTTTATTAAAACCATTGGAGATCAAAATAGCAAAACAGCCATTCTAGTTAGCTATAGAAGCTAGGTGGTACACACCTTTAATCCCAGGACTCAGTATTAAGAGGTAGACAGATCTCTGTTAATTAAGGTCACACTGCAAAGGCTACACAAAATTGGTCTAGTCTTAAAATAAACAGCTCACATAAAGGTGATCTCAACACCTGGGATCACAAGCCTTTAATCCTAGCATTAGGGAGGTGGAGACAGAGGTGATATGGCTGGGTGGAGAAAGGAATATTAGGAGGAGGATATAGGATCTGAGAGCCTTTTGCCTTTAAGGATTCATGGGGATAGGACTGCCATTTCAGCTTGGTAGCGGTAAGACCTCCTGGCTTGGCTGTGTTGATTTTCTGATCTTCAGCTTGAAGCTTGAACCCCAGCCAGTAAGTATCAGTCTCTAGGTCTTTTACAACCTTGAACTTAATATATGAAATTTCTTGCTGCAATTGCATGCTGCCTGGACATTAATGTTCCTGTTGGGATCCATCTATAGGTTCCTTTAACTCTAGCTTCATTAAAAATCCACACAGGGAAGAGTTTTACATTAATTGCTATTTAGTCATCAATTCTATAATTTTAGTTTCGATAACTATCACTTAGATAATTCAGTATGCATTTCAATTTTCTTTGGGAAATTAGTCAACCAGTTTCTTATTTGTAACTAATTGGGTAATACTACTTTCCTTTATTTTTAGCCTTTTTACAGTTTTTTTAATTGTAAACATGACATAATAATAAACCTGAGGTCAGTTTTCTGGGGTGTAGAAACCACAGGTGAATACTACTCTTTACACCTTGTTCCACTTTTGCAGCCATGGGTCTGACAAGTCCTGGTTGCAGCTCTTTGTGCCTGTTCAGACTGACTTGCCTGTACCTGATAGGCAGTCACCATGGATAGTGAGTGTGGTGTTTTTGAACAGATCCTATAAATGGATCTTGTCTTTTAAAGTTTTTATTTATGTGCATGCTGTCATGCGTGTGCGCCCACAGAGACCAACAGAGGGCATCAGATCTGGAGGGAGAGCTACAGGCAGTCCTGAGCTACCCCAGGTAGTGCTGGCACTGGCATTGGTTCCTTTGCAGAAACATCCCTAATTCCCTAATTCCCAACCACTGAGCCATCTCAGCAGCTCTGTGATTGGCTGAGACGCAGTTGCTTGGTTACGGTAGCATACTGTTAGTTTATAATTGGTTTATATCTTAAGTATAGTTTTCACTGTACATGAAGATTTTTGACTAACTTATTTGGGCATGCAGCCTTAGGCCAAATTATTTTTGCTTCGTTGGGATAAAGTATGAAAACACTATTTATTTTGTTTGTTTGTGTTTTTTTATTTTATATAACCAAGTCCATTTAAGTGAAAACAAACATTTATAGACAATATTTGGGAATTTGGGCGTTGTTCTTTCCAAACTACTTACTGCTGGTAAGGGGCGCTGTCATGGGGGATTCGAAGAAGATTCAGAAATCCTGGCTGTAGTCTGTAAGGCTGCTTTGTCCAGCTGAAAACACTACTTATTTAGTAGAAGAGTGATCATATGAAAGAGAACCAGCTTATGAGGCTGAGGAACCCCAAAGAGGCCGCTAGAAGACACTTTGCACAGGCTGAGAAGAGAATAAAACCATAAACTTTCCTGACATTTCACTACCTGGTATGGGTGGTGGTGTGTTTTGTAAGCCCTGGTCTTTGATGGAGAGGTCTAAAAAGTATGTTTTGAAACAAATGTAGCTGGGAATGACCTGATCCCCTTGGTTTCCTTTTAGGGTGATCAGTGTGGTTGGCTGGTCCCAGAAGAAGGCTATACTCTTGCAGCCACCGAGTCTCAGCAGCTGGCTCAGATTGACACAAAACTGCAGGAATTCTCTGTGGTCTCCCCAACCGTCTTCAGCCTCTCTCCAAGATGTGAGAATCAGAGCAGTAAGGTATGTTTTTTTAAAATTTTTTGGAGGGGGAGGGGGACTTGAGACAGGGTCTCTATATATAGTCCTGGCTGTCCTGGAACTTGTTCTATAGAACAGGCTGGTCTCGAACTCAGAGACCTTCCTGTTTCTGACTCCCAAATGCTGGAACTAAAGGCATGGGCCACCACACCTGGCAGAATGACAAGGTATGTTTAACTCAGGAGCATGCAGACTGTTCAGGTCAATGCATGCATAGCTACTGCACGTCCTTTGTAAGCTAAACTAAAGGGATTTTGTTCCAATTGCTCTTCTGAGTCCAATCGCAAACATTTCAGTTTTCCCAGCAGTGTGCATTTTCTTTAGGTTATTTCTACTTTCTGCCCGTTTTTCTTCAACTGGGAATTGTCTGGGAAGGGGCAATTGTGGAGGCACTTATTTTAATATTGTCTTATCTTTTTGGTTCAAGATAGTTCTCGGTCAAGGAAGAGAAGTTAACAGTATTCATTATCAGTCCCTTACAGCCTTTCTTTCCTTTGTTCTTTTGGCACTAGATGTGAGCAGAGCCAGTCACATGCCCCTTCCTCTGTCATGTCCTTCCAACTCCTTTAATAGCAAGAACAAAGCTTTTACTGTGATGTTGTCTGTCCTCTGACAGCTTTGAAATAGGTGTGAATGGCTCCCTCCAAAATTCTTCTACACAGTGTGTAGAGTGTGGAGGACAGAGATGAGCAGTGTTGACACAGTAAGTTTCCTACCTGCTCCTCTGCATTCCAGTTCCCACAGTCTAGTTTGTGTGTGTGTGTGTGTGTATGTGTGTCTGATTTTGCTATCTCTCTTCTAGCTTTGTAAAAAGCTTTACCAAATCATTTTTCACACAGTGTTTTTTTTTTTTTGTGGGTGGGGGGAGCTCTCAAAAATTTTAAGTATCAGTAACTTAGAGTAAGTCCATTCTAGAAGATACTAATCGCTTATTGAAGGTTACTTGTAACACAAATAAATAAATGACCCAGAGACAGATATTGGGCTGATTTTGCTTTTCTGAATCCTCAGTCAAGCTTTAATAAATCATAAAGAATATATCACCACAGTTACCTTGTCTAAAGAGACCATGTAAAGATGTCCTGAAGAAACAATGTAATTGGTGCCGGCACCTTGGAAGCTGTCTCAGCATTCCTAGGTTAGGTTTCTAAGGGCCAGGAGGGAGTCACTCCTGACCCCTAGCAGCAGAAATGGTGGTGGCATTGTTCCCGGCACTAATTTCGGGATTGGGTCAGAGTTCACAGAAAGAGAGGATTGGGATACTCACTGTCATTGAATGTACCCTGGGACACAAGTTACTAGAGTTGTGTTTTGTTTGTATTACTCAGTTCTGCTTCTCAATAAGAGTTAGTCAAGATGAGTAATAAATTGCCTGGAGGTCCCCTACATTTTTTTCATGTTTCATCTGACGTTTTTGTTGTTGATAGGGTTCCAGGATGGCTATGATCTAAAGTCTCAACAGTGTCTTAGAGGCAGAAGCTGTCCTTGTCATAGCTGTTAGCTGTTCTTCTCCAAAGAGGCTGAGAATTTAGAGATTTGTTCAGGATTTAGAAATTCAACTATATCATGAATTCTTTGCTAGAGTGTGTTATCATCACCTAAATCACCCCCCTCCCCAGAGTCCACATTATGGTTCAGATAAATTATTTGAAACATAATGAAAAGGGGAAACCAATATACAACTGTGCTGGTGTGGGCTGAGATCATGTAATTTTATTCGAAACAACACTTTTTTTTTTTTTTTTAAACAAAGAAAAGAGAAAACTTCACCTGGGGTTTCCACCAAATGCAGGGACAGACCAGGAGCCTAACAGTTGCTGAGAAGAAGTAATTGATGCTTCTTGCATGCACAACAGCCTGTCATTTGGATGTATATCCACTTTCCTCTTGGAGCTTCTAGCCCAAACCAGTTCTAGCTAGAACTGCACATGGAACTTTCAAGTAGAAATGCAAACCTGGCAAATTATCTCATGGTAATTATTTTGGGATTGTGAGGTCTTGTGAATAAATTCACTGAAAAGAATGCGCAAGCATTTTATCTCTGTGTAGTTGGTGAATGGGCTCCAATCTGGTGTTGAACATAAGCACTTAACATTTGAATTCATCTTATTTTCATTCTTCTGCAGACCATCAGGCTCATCAGTAATTTTTTTCTTCATGAGCCTTTAGAAGAATGTCATACTTAAAAGACATTTAAATGTAAATTCCCACTTAAAGACTTGTTTGTGCTTTTGTGCCTCTCTCTCTCTCTCTCTCTCTCTCTCTCTCTCTCTCTCTCTCTCTCTCTCTGTGTGTGTGTGTGTGTGTGTGTGCATATTCATGTGGGTGCTAGCAGAGGTCAGTAGGGGCTGTCAGAGCCTTAAAGCTGGAGTTGCAGGCAGTTGTGAGCTGAGTGCTTTGCAAGAACAGCAAAGGCTTTTAACTGAGGAACCATCTCTCCTGTCTCTAAATTTTTTCTTTCAAAACGATGCAACAAACATTAACTTAGGGCTTACTGTACATTAGGAACTATAGGGGCTTAAAGATAAGTCAGGAACACGGATGACCTTGGAGTAGAAAAGCCTGAGCAGGTCGTATTTAGGAATATATGTTTGTACGTATATACATGTAACTACAATAAAGAATAAGAGGCCTTTCAAGTGTCTGCCTTCAAAGCATGAGGACTTGAGTTTGAATCCCAGCACCCACCTCAAAAACAAGACAACAAACAAACCATAAAAAACCCCAGACCGCAGAAGACTGCCACCACATAGCACAAGGGTGGAACTGGTGGCTGTGGGCCAGATAAATTCACAGATGGGTTTCCTCAGGCCCACAAGGGTTTACAGATGTTTTTAGTCAACATTTTCAGGTGAATTCAAGTGGAAATGCTAATGTCTAGTGTCTTTGAGAATTAGAAAGTATGGCAACTCTCTACCTGACTCCTTGGTGTCGTGTCGGCTGGTGTCCTGGACTGAGCTGGCTAGCAGCTGTTGTTTCCTTTGGCTCTCACTTTCCATTTTGCATCATGTTGTTAAGAAAATGGTTTTCTGGACAAGCTGAAACTCACAGGCTCCCCGACATAGCTGCTTGTAGTTAACTATGTGATGCTAAGTTAGTAGGCATGGAAAACTATGATCACACTTTGAGGGGCTCTAGAAATGATTGCAGAGATAATCAAACCTCTGGTCAGTGCAAAAGGGCAGGGGACATCACCTCTCCTTGCCCTTAGAAGTTTGCTGGTTGTGACTCTCCTTATATTAATCACATGCCTGGTGCTCTTAACTATGGGGAAAAAGTGCTTTTAAAGATTTATTTACTTATTTATTTTATGTATGAGTGCACTATCTGCGTGAATGCCTTTATACCAGAAGACGGTATCAGATCTCATTATAGATGGTTGTGAGCCACCATGTGGTTTCTGGGAATTGAACTCAGGTCCTCTGGAAGAGCAGCCAGTGCTGCTAACCACCGAGACATCTCTCCAGCCCCAATTATGAAAAAAAAAAAAATTTTTTTTTTAAAAATAGCATTTGCCTTTTCCTCTGTGAAAACAAAGCATGTGGCCACATTTAAAATAAAGCATATTTTACCATGACTGCTATAATATTAATAATATTGTGGTTGTGGTTTTCTCATGTGTTTTTAATTCTCATCTTATGGGAGCCAGAGAGAGCGCGAACGAACGTGGTATGTATTCATAAGATCTGTACATTAAGTGTGCATACCTGTACTGACCAGTTTCTTGACTTGCCAATAAGCCAGACATTTATTTCTCCATATTGGAAATCGCCCTGTAAAGTTGAGTGATACCGTATAATTTTGTTTTTCTCCTTTGCACATAGACTAGATTCCAGCTTTCTCCAGAAATATCTATGCTATGGGAGTGGTGTGACATTCAGTTTCTTAAATCCTCAGCAACTGGATTCAATAATAAAGGCTATTCTTCTTGGCTCCTGTAAAGACATAGAGTTTATTCATCTCTCATGCAATCAGTCTTACTAAATCTAGAATTCCACTTCATGGTTAGAGGATTTTTTTTTTTTTCTGGTCAAAGGAGAGTCTTCAGAAATGTCTCTTACTGACAAGAGGTATTTCTTTGTTCTCAGACCAACTAACTTAATCAAATGGATGGCTCTCCTTAACCTGATTGACTGCCCTGTGTTTAGAATAGTAATTCCATCACACACACACAATTTGGTGATACAAAAACAAACAAACAAACAAACAAACACACCCAAACCCCAGACCCTTAACTATTTGAAGGAAGAACATTGTATTTACATTCATCTTTTTTTCTTGCCAAAAATCACATAACTGCTGACAGCAAGAAAATGAGTTTGGTTTGTTTGTTTCTTTCTCAACACTAGCTGAAGTTTAGGAGCAATTGTATGTAATCCTGAAAAAAAAATGTATATTGCCAACTTCATTTCCCCCAGATTTAGAGTGTGGGTTCAGGGCAGGAATCCAGCTACCACTCAGTCTACTCTAGTTACAAGGCCTGCTTTTACCTCCCTGCAGAAACACACCAAGGCAGCGTGACTTCAGAGCATCCGTGTTAGCACTGAAGAATAAACAAGAACTTAACTCAGCATGCCTTGCCTCTGGAGCCAGGCTGTCAGAATTCTCATTTAGATCTGGGAAATAGCTCTTGCTTCCCCCCCCCCATTTTTGTAGATAGTTTCAAATTTTATAATTTGTTTTCTTGTGATACCGCCAATTCCGGCAAGGTTTCTTTCATTTCAATGGCAACATTCCAAGATGTTAAAAACAGTCTGTTTGAAAGATTTCCCTGCTACGTTTGGGCAGCTGACCTATATGAGACAAGAAATAGGACTGGCTTGTAGACATGCTGAGAGTGAGCCTGGACATGCAGGCGTTACCCACGCAGGTCTGTGTCCTTAACGCATGGCTTCTTTGAATATCAAATAACTTAGTGAGCTCTGAGTAATTTCCTTTGTATGTGACTTATGAAAAACGAGTTTATTTAGCTTCAAAGGGCTCTGTTAGCTCAGTCAACATCACAGATACTTTTTAAAGGGTAAACTCAGAATCTCTTGGCAATCGGTTAGTCAGACTAACAAATACCAATTTACCTCAGGGTTAGTCCTCTCCTTATGGTGCCATTAGACACTCTGAGTACATCACGGAGAGCCTTTGCTGAATTCTCTGTAGAATCCTTCCTGACTGACCCAGACCCATGGAAACAGTCTACTGAGTGAAGAATCTGCTAATTAATTCTAAGACCATGAAGACCGTTTTGGCTGGTGTTTGCCATCAGAAAAGAACTCCCGGCACTAGGCGCTGGCTCATTCTGCAGTGGGTCACTGGACAGGACCAGTGACTTTCTTTTTTAATTGTTCCTTCTTGGCCTGTTTTCAGGACATGGCATTCTTTGGATACTTGAACTAGGTGGTTATGCTGTCAGAGAGCGTGACTAAGGAATGAAGGGAAGGTCTCACATACCTTCCAAGTCCTAATGCAGAGAATTGTAGACGAGGCAGTAGAAGTTAAGACCTGGGAAGAGGATGTGGCATCCTAGTTGCATACCTGATTGTTCTAGAAGAGCTGGACCAGAGACCTGAACTTTTTGATTGTGAGGAATACACTCTCTTTCAGAGTAGAACAGAAATAGGGTTGGTAGAATGCCATGCTTGCTTAAAAATAAAAAATATGATCTTCCAGCTTATGAAATTAATATATTTACTGTAGAAAATTCAAGAACCACAATACTAAGAGCATTGGAAAACACACACACACACACACACACAATGTAGTGCTTCATGCATGCTAATGAAGTGTTCTATCCCAATATTAAATCAAGTTTTTTTTTTCAAATCAGCAAGTTAGTTACTGTTAAACTTTCTTCCAATTTATTTCTGTGCAAATTTGGCTACTGACCCCCTTCCCAGGCAGTATATCGAGTTGGGACAAGAAACAGAGCACAGCCAGCTTGGATTTCAGATGCTTGTGCCACTGTGTCCAGCTTTTCCACAGGTCCTGGGGATCCGAACTCAGGTCCTTAGGCTTGGGTGGCAAGCATTTTCACACACCGAGCAAACTCTCCACTCTCAGGAGAATCTTACCAAAGGTGCGTTGTGCTGACATTCACTATAAGCATGATCAAACATTAATTGTGATCAAAGTTGTGAGAACTGAAGTTAGAGTGTATTGCAGGTTTAGAGGGGTCTAGTTTGTATGGGGACATAGGAAGATCAGTCATGCCACCATATAGGCAGTGATGAGTGGTCTGTGCAAGGAAGGAACAAGTAACCATATGAACAGTAAGATGGATATATTGAGTAAGCTTTCCCTTCTAGATATGCCAGAGGACTTTAAGGTGGATGTATGCTCAAGCTAGATTAAATGACTAGTCGTCTCTGAGGGGATTTGGAGGGTGGATGCCTGGGGTGGTGGGGAATCAGTAGTACAAAGGTACACGGGGAGTTGGGGGGGTGAATGGGGAATGGATATGCTCATGTTTTGTTGTACAAATGTATATCCAAAGAATTGGAGGGATTAAAGGAAGATATGAAGAGAAATGTGTGTGATACACTTGAAGCCCAGAGAAACTGGGACGCAGGCTCCTACCCAGCTGTACCTTCATGCTTTTCAGCTGATGCCAGACCGAGTTTATCTCCCCATTTGTTTATGTGCATTTGGACTTTTAATTCCTCAAATAGGAGAACTGAAAAGGATTCTAAACACGGGTTGAAGGTAAGAGACACTGAGCAACACAGTTGACCCTCAAGTCCTAGTCACACTGGAGGGTCTGTGGCTGTGCCTTAACTGGCCTGGGAGTGAATTCTTTTTTACTTTTAAATTAGGAACCTGACCCCAATGAAGAAAGAAATATGGAACCAACTCCAGGGGAAAAGATACTCCGGGACAGCAAAGAGCAAAGGGACCAGCAGTCTCGGCTGAGAGCCATCGACGGGAAGCTGAGAGAGATCAATGAACAGGTACAGTCTTTCTCCCTTTAAGTCCGATTGTAGCCATTCATTGTACTAAAAACCCATTCAGTTAGATTGTTCTTAATATGGTGAGTTTGGCATGAGAACTTGCCAGTCTGAATAAAAGCAAAAAATACGATTCATAGGATTTAAGATGATAGTATGATACAGTAATTTATGTAATTTACTTACTACAATCTGTAAAATACTATCTGAACTCAGAATCATGTTGCATGGTCTGTGCCTCACAGGAACACACACATTCCTTTATCGTGGACAATATTTAGTTTTCAAAAATAAATAAATAAATAAATAAGCAAACAAACAAACTCCCATCCTTACGTATTAGCTTTAATGCTTAAATATTCCTTCCTTTTGTTTACAATAAGTACATTTTTATTTTTAATACAGTATAAATTTGAAGCCTACTACATATTTTTGTTGCCTTTTATTTAAAGCTATATTATTATTGATGACAGATCTTTTAAATGCATGTTTTGAGCTAGAGTCCCAGGCTGGGCTTGGGGGGGTGGCTTTTAAGGCTGGGAGGGTTGGTTCTTTTGGTTGACAGTTTGAGAGCACAGTACATGATGGCAGGGAAGGTGTGATGGTGAATGTGGCTTCAGCCCCTAACTGTGGTAGCAGGAGCTCCAGGCAGCTGGTCACATCTGTCTGAAGCCAGGAAGCCGAGAGAGCCTCTGAAGGAGGCTTCTGGGAGCTGCTTATTCTGCTTTGTTTCCTTATTCTTGACCCTGTAATGGAGTATCCTTCCGAGATCCCTGCTGCTTAAGTCTCATGACTTGAGTTCAAATGCTGGCAGTCATGGTGGAAGGAGAGAGCCAACTCTCGAAAGTTCCCTTCTGACCTCCACACTTGTGCTACGGCACCCACCCACCTTCACTCACACACATTCACACACGTTCACTACATGCACACATTATAGTATTAAAATAACTTAAAATCACTGATTGGGGAAAAAGAGGCATAGTATATGGCCGCAGTATTGGTGAGTTGAGGTCTCAGGGATGGGAAAGAAAGAGCTGAACACAATATGGGGGGCCCTGATAGCTACTCCTGGAGATGCCTGTGAGCAGAGGCTGGAAAAGCTGTGTCCGTTCTGTGATGCTGATGACTGCTGATGCTCATCTGTCTTGGTCAAGGTTAGCTGAGAGAGTGGGGTTCAACTATCCTGTAGGTGGCTGCACGTGGTCCTGCTGGTGCCAGTGGGGATGGCTGTTAGGATCTGTGGGAAGAAGACAATACAGTGAAGCTGAACTTTGCACACTTCATACTGAACTGAATATTCACATAGGGCCCATAAAGCAGCTACACGGAACAGCCTCCCTGGGCGGTCTCTCCATTATTTGCCATACAAAGGACAGACAGTCTCTGGGACACTCACTCTTGTTTTTTCCTTCCTCAGAGAGTTGATTTCTGTCATTTTGGGGGTTCTTGTCCCACCCAGTCTTCTAACCAACCCCTGCCCCATGCTTTTAAGGTACCAGAGTTATAGTCCTGTAATGCAAGTGTCTGTTGTGGGTACCATGGTTATGATCCATATTGATTGGGCTGGAATCTCAACTTTGTGATGTTAACATATTGTGAGAATTTTTTCCAGGGGGAGATGTAAACAGTGTCCACCCCTCATACCTTAAGTCTTAATGACAACCTAAAGTTTGAGTCTATTAGGCATTTTTTTACAGATCGTGAGTGAGGGGTTATGAGCAGGAGTATGGGTGATCTTGAGCAGCTCTGCTAAAAAGACTACACCCACTGTGAATGATGGCTTCACGTGGCTGCGTGGATGCAGGCCTACCCCAGCCTAGATACTTTAGCTCTTTCCCAGGCCCCAAGGTCACATGAGATTCTTGTACAACTGTCCGGGGAAAGTGGATACTCAGATGACCAGCTTCATCCTGTCCTCTGAGGGAATGCCGAGTCAGCAAGCTCAGTTGTGATCTTTTGCCAGCAGACATGTCAGCCTTAGGAAGATGGCAGTTGCTCTGCTCTGGGGATAGGACTGTGCAATACAGTATTTGTGTGAGCTTGTTTCTAGAATGAGGAGGATGGAGTACAGACAGAGAAATGGAAGCTGGAGGTGGGGGAGTGGGTAGTCTTTCAGAGGACCCATGATATCATTCTCCTGACTCAGGATGAAAGGAATGGTGGACCTAGGAAAGCAGGCTTGGAAATGAAGACGGAGAAAGGTTACTGTGCACACTGGCGATCAGAGAGAGGAGGAGATAGGGCAAGATTGGGTCTGTGGGGACTAGAAGAGTCTGCTGATAAACAATGGCCCACCTGAAGCCCATCAGCAAGGATTGGAGGTCTCCCCAACTGCCTTCCAAAAAGTAAAGAGAATGGGTGAAACAGGGTGAGGCAAGCTTGGATAATTGCAGTGGAGGGTCAAAGAGGCAAGGGAGTTGATGGTGCCTCTGATTTCATAACCAGAGGGAAAATGAATGGAGCATGTGTGCTCCAGATGTCAGCTTGGGATCCCATTGCCCTTCTTTTCCCAGTTTCAGAACTTATTCCATATAACAGTGCAGAGTACCGTGCAGCTGTCAAATGTTTGAGGTGGATCTCTGCAAATTGAAAAGAAGATGAATAGATATATATGGAGAAAGATGTCACTGCATGAATCAGCGATTGTTGTGACTCCATTCGTGTTGAGATGTCAAGGGGGAAATCCTGGGTCCATGGCTTTTAGCAGGGATGGCTTTTAGTGAGGAGAGGGATGCAGGACAGGTAAAGAAAGGAAATACACGTATACGACATGCTAAAGGGAAATAATAATGGGGTCTCAGGTGATTTTTATGTTGTTTGCATTTTTCTATATCTTCCCAACTTCAAAAATATATTTCTAAAGAACATTAATGTTTATGAATATGAGGATTTGTGGCTGTTACTATCTCTTGCCTGCTCAGTGATCTTTCACCATTTAGAAACAGAGTCACTACAACGAAAGAGATTTAGTCTTACTGGTAACTCAGATTCACATTCTCACACCTGTTAGGCACTGTCTACCCCTGCTAGACCACTGAGAATATCAGTGATGTTACATGATTGTGTGTGAGTGGGGATATTATAAGCTGGGGAGCAGTAATGTTTGAACATATTGGTAGCTTTTTAATTTGTTCCTTTTTCCTCAGGAAACAATTGACTAATAAATACAACAGTGACTATAACATTATTTACATTTTTGCCCATATAATCTCACTTTTAAAAATATTTCCAAAGAAATAATATCCAAGGAAAACCAAGGCAAATAGAACAGGACATAACAAAAGTGCTCTCAAGTTAATGCATGCTAAAGCAACTTATACACTATGAGCCCAGCTAAGACCATGGCAGGACAATAAAAACAATGAATGCATGGGCCTCGGCAATATAGGGCATCATGGAAATGTTTAGTAGAAAACATGAAAATCAAAGTTGAGGGTCGATCTTACCATCTATATGTAATGTATGTTACACATATATGCACATCAGTGTGAAATACATGAATGGGAATAGCTTATCTTTATTAATTTTCTGCTTCCCACTGATTTCCCCTTTTCTTCTAAAGGAAGAGGAGTCATAATTGAGGGCATCCTACAATCCCATTGTATCATTTAGAGATACTTTAATCCATCAGTGTAATGATGAACTGATTGATAATTTAAGTTCTTGGCTGAGGTAAAATGCCTTTAAAGAAGTAGTGTGGTAAACCTACCTTTCACAGCTTTCAATTTTAGATTTTGGATTTTCAAAAGAATCAGCAGTCCGCCTTTACCTCGGTGAGCCCATTAATGATACAATGGACAGCAGTTTGTTAGCATTGGGGAAAGCTCTTCACGGTCCCAATCATTTAAAAAGCATCAACCGCACTTTTCAGATCTCTATTGTGTCTCATTTGGGTTTTTTTTTTTTTTTTTTTTTTTTTCATCTTTTGACGTTGCTCCTACATCTTTGCGCATTCCTTCCTGTTTCTGTTTCCTGGAAACCACAGTTTGGCCTTGTTTGGTGAACTGAGTTATTATTGCATCAGGGTGGTTAGCTCTCTAAGCCCTGTTGCTGAGCGTTGAGGGTAAGAATGCGGTTCACAAAGGGTTGTCAATCCTTGTGTTCTTATTCTTATTTTGATACGCGCTTATCATTTGGTCTGCTATAAGAATGTATCGAGCTTGGTCCAAAGACCAGGGGATTTTGTTTGCCCAGAGGACAGCTTGGAGGACATTCCTCCAGTTGTTGAACACTAGAAAATCAATTGTAGAGCATGGAAGCTGAACAGATGAATGAGTTTTCAAAAGCTCACAAGTAGTTAACAGTAGGCTTAGGCCAACCCTCAGTTCTGTAAACTTCTCAATAAAGACAACTACTAATTACTTCTCTGTGGGTCAGCCATTTTCTGTGTGGGATTTGTGACCACCTCATGTGATCTGTGCCACCATGCCTGGCTTTTTCGTATTGGTTCTGGGAATTCAACTTAGGTCCTCATGTCTGCTTGGCAAGTACTTCACCAACTCAGCTCTCTCCCTGGTCCACATATTTCCAGCTGTTACCATGCCTAATTTATGAATTAAATGCATACATGTATGTATAGGAGAAAGCATAGAAGAGATAGGGTTTGGTACTAACTGGGGTTTAGTGATCCAATGGGGCTCTTGGAATATGTCCTTTGGGGGAGGTACTGCTTCTCCCTCCCTCCTCTCTCTCTCTCTCTCTCTCTCTCTCTCTCTCTCTCTCTCTCTCTCTCCCTTTCTCTCTCTCTGTCCAGGGTTTCTATGTGCAACATTCCTAACTGTCCTGGAACTCATAGAGATGTACTTGGCTTTGACTCCTGTGTGCTGGGATTAAAGGTATGCACCACCACCACGACTGGCTACTGCCTTTCTTATGGTTGCCATTTAAAGCTACTTCTGTCCCAGAGAAAGGATTGGCTGAGGCAGTGACACACAGTGACAGTCATCAGGGGTTCACTTTCTACTGGTAGCTAAGAAACTTCCTTGGAGTGTAAGTCCAGGTAC